ATGTGATGAAAAAACATTTAAAAATTAAAATATATTTTTAAAATAGGCATAAAGAATTATATAATTCTTATGTTTACACATAAGTTCAGAAATCTAACCATATGCAACCTTTTAGCAGGAAAGTCCTACAACATTCCTTTTCCTGTCTCCTGCCTTCATTCACTACCCCCTTCTTTTTAAACAATCATCTACCTGAAAGACAGCATGGCAGCAACTGGATGTTATGTTGAGCTGTGGGGGACTCAGGTCCACAATTTCTGATACTGCCAGTCAAGAGGAAGACCCAATACTATTAGGGACTACTGGACTCTTTTAGACTATCTTGCTGAATTAACACACTTATAATATTCAAATGATGGAACTAAACCAAAAAGGGGATACAGATGAATGTCCATTTTGCATCTGTGTATTCAAAATGGTTAGGATAGATATACAGTTACATTCTCTTAACGAATAGTGGGATTTGCTGTAATAGTGTTTGTAAATAGGATATCATGTCTGCATCTTGTACAGCAAATAACCACTAGGAAGAGAGTATGCAATGTGTTAATTATTGAAACTGTCATACCAATTTGATTTGAAACTGTCTCATTGCTATTTGTCTCTCAGTAAAATTATGAAAAATAAATGAATAAATAAATTTCCTCTGTGAGATCAAGCAGTCTACTATCCTTAATCTGTATCCCCTAAAGCCTCATGATATGGACAAAATAAATACTTTTTTCAGTATGCAACATATATGGTCTCTAGTCTAACTTCCATCAGAGTTATTCCCAACTGAAACCTCTTGTGGCTGGTCTTTACTGTCTGCATTCTTATCAGTGTGCTGTTTTTGCAGGTGCTAATACAAATTGTCCCTCAGTCTGTTATTGGAAACTTCCAGTCACTCTCCAACCTGATTCTTCAAGCTTTTCCAAATTCCACTTGCAAACCAGTGTACAGCCTTCTGAACCACATAGTCAGGGACAGTCACAGCAATGGACCACTTCTCTGGTATTTTCTGTATTAGTCACTTTCCATCTTTGGGTAAAAAATATCTGACACCTGCTAGAGGAAATGAGGTTTATTTTGGCTAATGGTTTCTGAGAATTCAGTCTAAGTCTGTGTGGCTCCAAGTCAAAAATGGCTTGGCAGAATAGCATGGCTGAATGGCATCACAGAGGAAGGCTTCATCCACACTCTTCTATATCTCAGATGATCTGCCTCTCTCAGGCAGGCCCTACCTCCAAGAACGCAAAACTCTGAGGGAACATTTTAGAGTTAAATCACAATGCAGTTGTGTGGGGCTAGTCGCCATCTGGGCATTTACTAGCAGAAAGGGCCACCTATACCTCAGGAATGTTGCAATGTGCCTGGGTATGTCAGCTTTAAGTCTGCAAACACATCTTTACCATCAAAACCTAAATTTGGCCACTTGCCATTGTGTGCTACAAATCACCTGACTGCTTGGTATGCAGCACAAACCCCCTAGCCTTCTGAAAAGTACCAAACTTAATAATAACAGTCCTTAGAGCAGACACATCCACAAGACCTTTGCTTCTCAGAAGTTCATCTTTCTCATTTCATCTTTCTCAACTTGGGGCAACAATCAGCATCACTATGTATCAGATCACCCTGACTTAGTGTCTGTGGTGATGATAAGTGTACACTGTGTAGTGGTTAATGTCATGTTCCAAATGGATTGATAGCTGGCATCCAGGTGTTTGATACACAGGTGATCTGGCTGTGTCTGTGAGGCTTGGATATTTCTATGAAATTTGGCTTAAATCAGTGGCCTTTCAGGAAGACAGAATGCCCCCCACCCCACTGCAGCAGAAGCAGAGACTGGAGGCGGAAGGCAGAGAATAAGCAGGACCTGTGGAGGATATTCTCACTTAATAACTTGGACCCATGAGTTTCATCAGAGGCTGGCAAAGATTCTAACTTTTACGGCAGCTGGAACAAGCTGGAATAATTGATGGGTACAGAATAATGAAGGAATTATGACTTTTGGATTGGGACCACATGCAGGGGTCATGGGGCTGCCACTGCAACCACAGCTTCAGAGTGTAGAGATAGCCATCCAGAGGACAGAGGACAGTGCATAGGGCTTTAATGGCCACACCTGAGCATACACATTCCAGGAGTTCACCTGCTAGGTTAGTTATCAGTGCTCCTTCTGTCCCACTTCCCCCATTTGGAAGGAGAATGCCCATACTATCGCTCACCCTTTTTATTTAGGAAGCAAATAATTTGTTGTCTGTGTTCATAGGTCCATACATAGTGAGAACTCTATCCTAGAATGAATCACATCTTTACCCCATTTGGGTGACATGGTGATGAGATTTGGGGCTTTGAATTGATGCTGGGATCAGATGGGTACGTTTTGCATGTGATGTTAATAAGTTTTGAGTGTCAGAGGTTTGTTCTGACCTACAGAGTCTCCTGTTGAAATTCAGACTCCCAGGACTTCACGATATCACCATCACTTGAAGAAGAGTCTCCAACCTAACTCAGTGCGTTGAGTTCCATGGACTGGGATGGACACCTTACACAATAGCAATGAGGACAACACCAAACCAACACAGTAAATCAGTGAGAGGGGCTGCTCCCTCAAATCAAGGAACAGCATATTGAGGCCTCCTGGAGCAGGAGAAGGGCCTAGATCAGCTTCTCCATGTAACAGGGGAGACTCAACCTGCTGAGCCACACTCTGGGACTCCTGGCCTCCAGATGGGTAGAGCAGACCTCTTCAAAAATGGTTCCCTTGGGGCCAGGGAGATGGCTCAGTGGAATAAATGCTTCCCTAGCAAGTGCAAGGGCCTGAGTTCAATCCCCAGTTCCAAAAAAAATGGTTCCCATCTCTCCCAGTTCCAGCAGCATAAACTCAAAAACACAGGTGGCCTTTTATCCACTTGTGACTGTTCAGTCCCTTGCACATTCCTGAGCTGGTCACAGCCCAAGGTCACCCCAGCCTGGGATGGATGTGATGACCTCATTTAACTCAGATGAAGCAAGCCCAGAGCAACCCCTCAAGACCTCAGCTGGAGGGAGGGAGGTCATGGGAGCCCACCAGGCAGAGCCAGTTCTCCCCACACTCATGCTCTTGGAACTCATGGAGAGATTCAGCACTGGTACTCTGGGGTCATGGTGAGCCTGATTTTGTCTTCCTGGGTGCCCACTTAGTGAAGAGACTGATATGCACCCAGAGGCCCCTGTGTCACTGAGGGTTGCCAAGTTTGGATTACAGGTGTAATTCAACACTTAATGCAGGGGCAGTGAGATAGCTCAGCAAACTAAGCTTCTGCTTAGGCAAGCACAGGGACCAGGGTTCAATCCCCGGCACTGCATACTGCTCTGGCCCTACCCTCAAGGACACTGGGCCAGCCACAAAGACTGGGCATGGTGGTAGATGCCTGCAATCTCAGTGCTGTGGAAACTGAAAACAGGAGGATCACTACAAGTCCAAGCTGTGTAGTGAAACCCTGCTCCAAATACATAAAAAATAAATAATAAATAAATAACTTAATGTGGCCACTCCTGGACCATGGCTCACAGAACTATGTCTCAGCATGAATCCATTCTTTATGCTTTGTGTGCAACACCTCTGGGGCCTCAGGATCTCCCAGGTCCCTCTCCACCTTTGTTCTCCTCTCCCACCAAGCCCTCCTCTTAGACTTTGCCCTGGCCTGGTTGCCTCTCCCTTCTTGATTCCCTCAGGGCTTCCTCCTGGACAGGCTCTGTTGCACTCAGCCAAGGTGCCCACCATCTCCTCACCTTCATGCCTGCCCCTTACCCCATCCCCGGCATACTGCCATCAGGCTAACCACGGAAGACTGGAGAGAAGGGATGGACTCTCCCACCCTATGAGTGCTCAGTAGGGTAAAATCCGATCAGGGCTGTGGAGCTCCCCAAGTAGAAGGTCTAGGTTGAAGAGGTCCCAGGGACTTTGTATACTATGAACACAAAGCAACAAGTGTCAGGGGCTTCCCGCTTTCTCCCTGGGCCCCAAGCTATAGCTCGCCCACTGCATGCACCCACACACCTATACCAGGCAACTTTGTCCTCTGACCCAGAAACCACCAGTAAAAAGGGAACTTCAGGAAGCAGTCTTGCCACCCACTTTCAATCCCGTTTTTAGTCTCTTCAGGGGTGGGGTTGGGGAGGCTTCCACACCCCTGGGGACAAGAGCTGTGTTAATCCTAGGAAGACAAGGCAGAGCTGAGCTGAGACAGAACAGAGCTGGAGCAAGAAGCCTGGGGACCTGCCATGGGCACCACATGGTGAGTGGGGTGGGATGGGACAGAGACATAGGGTAGAGGAACACTTCACCTTGCGCAGCCAAGACCATCAAAGTGTAGAAGGCTGAGACCTCCCCACAAATGGTCCTGACACAAGGGCTGCCTTTGACCTACTAGCCCACCTCAAAGTGACCAGGGCCAAAGGCAAAGGTATGTCCACGCAACCTGAGTGAGACACACCCAGGACTGATAGAGTCCCCTTATCACAAGTGGGGAGTAGGACACCAGATGGGTATACAAGGCTTGTCCTACAGGCAGCAGAAACAGACAATTGGGAAGAGTGAAGGGAAAGAAGGAAGAACAAGCAATAGGACCTTCCAGAATGGGCCAGGAGCTCATCTGAATAGGTGGACAGGATAAAACACTTACAGGGTAGAGGGTAGGTGTCAAGGACTAAGAGGCAAGGGCAGTGCAAAAACAGATGAGGGAAAGCTAGGCTGAGAGGAGACAGAAAGCCTGAAATTCCACATGAGCTTGGAAGACTGGACCAGAGCAACAGTGGGTTAGTTGAGGCAGGATCTAGGGCAAGCCTAGGAGCCAGAGACCTTGATGGAGCAGGTGCAGGGGAGCAGGAGTAGGTGGATGCTGGTGGTACTAGCACAGCCCCAAGAGACCAGCGCAGGACAAATGCCAGTAAGAAGGTTAGCTAGGTGGTGGAAGGGAGATGATAACCCCTGGAACTCAGGGAGTAGGGACAGGGTAGAAAAACCATACGTGAGCATGAGCTCAGATGCTCAGCATAAAGCAGCTGTAGGAGAGAAGGGCATGTGCATGATGGAGGAACTAGAGCAGCTTCAAGACATCAGGGAACCAGACAGAGAAGCTGCAGGTGATGTGATACAGATGTGGGCTGGAGCAATCAGGTAAGGCCAAGAAGCTCAAGGCACCAAAGCAACGTGGCTTCAGGTAAACAGAGGCAGGTGGGTTCTGCAGGGGCTGAGAGCCCCAGGAGCTCTGAGATCAAGGCAGAGTAACTGAAGGTGGAGTGATTTATACTAAACAACCAGGGTAACATCAAGAACCCAAGGGAACAGAGTAAACTAAATGCCTGTGAGCATGGTAGCAAGGTGCTAGAGGGAACGGATAGTCCTATAAGCTCAAAGAAGCAGGGATGAGGGCAGAACAGATACAGGTGAGTAGGGGTAGGTGGGTGTTGGAGAGTCCAGGGTAGCCACAGGGGATCAGGTGGCCAGGTGAAAGTAGCTGCAGGTAAGCAGGGTCAGGTGGGTGCTGGAGGGCCCAGGATAGAGCAGCTGAAGTTGGGTTGGGGCAGGTTAGTGTTGGAAGGTACATGGCAGCTCCAGGAGCTAAATGCACCAGAGCAAATCACCTGAAGGTGTGTTGGCGGCAGATTAGTGTAGAAGCTCCAAGAGTTCAGGGACCCAGGCAGAGCAATTTCAGGTGACATAAAGTAGGTAAGGGCTGGAGGAGTCAGCTAAGCCCCAGGAGTTCAAGAGACCAAGGCAGAGCAGCTGGAGGAGAGCAGGAACTGGTGGATGCTGGAGGGGCCAGAGCAGACCCAGGAGTTCAGGGTCACTGAAAGTACAGCTGAAAGAGGGTGGAGCAGGATCCAGGGAAGACCCAGGAGTTCAGGGGAACAGAGTAGAGCAGCTGGAGGTTAGCACAAACATGGTGCTGGATGTGTCTGGGCAGCCCCAGGAACTCAGGACAGCAGGGGAGAGCAACTGCCAATGCACAGGAGCAGTTGAGCTTGACTGAAGACCCCAGGAGCTAAGATGACCAGGGAAGAGCAGAGGAAGGTGTGTTGAGGCAGTTAATGGCTAGAGGAGTCAGCTTAGGCCCAAGAGGAGTTCAAGGGACCAAGAAAGAGCAGCTGCAGGGGAGCAGGGGCGAGTAGGTGCTCGAGTGGCCAGGGCAACTCCAGGCAATCAGGGACATGGAAAGAGCAGCTGAATGTGAGATGGGGTGGGTTGGAGGAGCCAGGGAAGCGCCAGGTGCTCAGGGGATCAGGGCAGAGAAAATGCATGTGAATGGGGGAGCTTGGTGCTGAAGAGGAGAGGATAGCCCCAGGAACCCAGGGAAGCAGAGATTAGTGCAGAACAGCTACAGATGAGCAGGAGCAGGTGGGTGTTATTGGAGCCAGGGGAGCCACAGGAGCTCAGGGGTCCAGGTCATCTGCAGTAAGCAGCGTCAGGTCAGTGCTGAAGGCACCACGGCAGCCCCAGGAACCCTGTGAAGCAGGGATGAGGGCAGAAAGCTTCAGGTGAGCAGGAGCAGGTGCTGCTGGAAGAGCCAGGGCACAGCAGCTTCAGGTAAGCAGTGTCAGGTCAGGTGCTGGAGTGGCCATCCCAGCCAGAAATTCAGAGCTCAGGGCAGAGTAACTAAAGGTGGGATGGGGTAGGTCCATGCTGGATAGGTTATGGCAGCCCCAGGGGCTTAGAGAGAAGGGCAAAACAGCTTCAGTTGCCCACAAAGAAGTCGGTGCTAGAAGGGAGAGGAAAGTTCCAGGAATTCAAAAGGCAAAACAGAGTAGCAATAAGTGAGCAGAGACAGGTAAGTGCTGGAGGATTCAGGGCAGCCACAGGAGCACAGGGTAGCAGGGCAGAGCAAATGCCTGTGAATGGGGGAGCTCAGTGCTGAAGGGGAGAGGATAGCCCCAGGAACTCAGGGAAGCAGGGGTGAGGGCAGAACAGCTACGGTGAGTAGGGGTAGGTGGGTATTCAAGAGGCCAGGGTAGTCCTGGGAGGTCAAATGGCCAGAGAAGAGTAGCTGCAGGTAAGCAGGGTCAGGTGGGTTCTGGAGGGCCCAGGATAGAGCAGCTGAAAGTGGGATGGGGCAATTGGTGCTGAAAGATTCGTGGCAGCTCCAGGAGCTCAGGGACTGGGCAGAGCAACTGCAGGACAACGGGGACAGGGACTGCTTGAGGAGCTAGGGCAGCCCAACAAGAGAGGGGAGAAAGACAGAGCAGCTACAAGTGAGAAGACACAGGTAGTTCTGGAAGGAAGAGGACAGCCACAGGAGCTCAGGGGAACAGAGCAGAGTAGTTGGAGGAGAGCAGGGGCAGGTGGGTGCTGGAGGGGCCAGGTCAGCCCAGAAGCTCAGGGATGCTGAAGGAACAGCTGAAGATGGATAGCGAAGGTTGGAGCCACCGCAGCACCAGGAACTCAGGGGAG